TGTATCTTCAAAACCACTCCTCTTCTGCGTTCGGGAATAAAAGACAAACTGCCTAATTTCGCCTCTTCCATGTGTATCTACCAATTTAACTGCTCCTGTGGAGCCAGTTACATAGGCCGTACAATTAGGCGTGTTTCTCGTCGAATTTCCGAACATCACCCTGCCTGGTTAAGCAAAGGTCAAACAAAATCTATTCGCAGTGCTATTCTGGCGCATCTTGTGGAGACAGAACACAAGATTGACGTTAATCATGCTTTCAGGGTCATTTACCGCATACCTATGAATCTCAATTTCGCTTTAAGAGTTCGACTTCTAAATATTGCGGAGGCTGTGGGGATTCATATTAATAAGCCTAATTTATGCACCCAGAAGAAGTTAGTCCAGTCATTATCATTACCTTGGCCATCCAGGTTTGAATAATCCAGAATTTTGTGAAATTTCCCTAATTTTAGTTGATATTCTATCCGCTGTTATATCTTTATTATTATTATAATTTAAGCATCATTAATGAACTGCAATAGCATTGATCATACTTTACAAATCGATATTATTTGAAAAAACGCTAATATTGTTAATAACTACTAATTTAAAATATTCTGTGTATAAAAACATATATATAATTGTAGAGCCTGGAAGAGGAATTTATCGAAAAGAATATTCTTTGCTCGATTATTTTGTTTTTATAGATGTCTGAATGAACATTTTTGCAATATTGAAATCTTCTGAGCATCATTTTGCGTTAAAAGTACTCAACGAGTATTTGAAGTATAGCGCAAGGCTCGGCGAAGCAAAGACTTCTGTTGACTTTATCCACGAGTGCATTGAAACAAACCGGTACCCAAAATCTTATTGGAAATCTCTACGCCGTTGCAGAATCCGGCCTAATGATAAGACTCTTAAACGCCATGCACGAAACCAAATTGACTCAATTCAATTGAGTATTACTGAGTTATCTAAGAATGTGACAGAAAGGTTCCATGCGGTCGACGAATTACCAGAAAACCTAAAGAAACTATTTTTGGATTATGTGGAGGTAATTGTGAGCAATAGGAAAGAAAAGAAGCGCCTGAAGCTGGTACAGAGCCTAGAGAACAAGACACCAGAAACAAGATTTCCACCGAACCCAAATCGTTTTGTGTTTAATTTTTCAGATGTAATACTTAGTGATGTGGATCTACAGGTTTTATCGCTTGGCCCCAAATTTTGTGACAGCCATGTAAAAATCAACAAAATGGATGCACAAATTCAGTTCGAAAGTCTCTACACCCAAACGGAAGGCCTTACACCCTCATCAACTGAAGATGTTGAAAGATTTAAATCAACGCTGGTCGACTGCTGCTATTATTACATGAACAGTAAACGCAATTCAGATAGTATCTTAACCAAAAAACATAGAGAAGCCCTGGATACTCTCCGCAAAAATGACAACATAATATTTGTATATATGTCAGCAGAGTGCAAAAATGTTCATTGAGGAGTCAAGATTAAAGATAACATTCAAGGAGAAAAAAAGGTGGAAAAGGATTATTCTGTAAAATAACTCCTCGCTGTAGAACTGAACTGCCAACGTAGATTAAAAGTAATTAAGAAATAATTTATTCCACTGGGCAATATATTCACTTCCCAAGTTTCGTGCCTCTACAATACAAACGTAATCTGATTGGATATCTGGTTTACCGGGATATAGTTATTTGCTCAAATGGGACACTGAACGAAGAACTCGGTAATATTTGCAAGCTACTGAGTAGAAACTGATATCCGACTGAATTCTTGAACAAACACATGAACTCAGAAAAGAAAAAGTTGAAGGTGCCCACTGTCCCCAAAACATTAGTCTTCCTAACGTTGAAATTCACGGGTGATGTCAATAGTGAGATCTTATCACAACGTCTGATACGAGACTTCAAAAGGGTTTTCAACTCAGCTAAGCTATGCTGTGTTTTCACTAGCTGACCAATACTTAGTTCTAGAAGTAAAGACAGAGACTGCCCTGTTTGGCCTCTTCCATGTATATTTACCAGTTTAACTACCCGTGCAGAGCTAATTACATGGGGCGTACGATCAGGAAAGTTCATCATCGAATTTCTAAACACCTCCCATCGTGGTTTGGCAAAGGTCCGAATAAAGCTATACGCAACTCAATACTAGCTCACCTCGTCGACACTGGACATGGAATTGACTCTAAAAAAGCTCTTTAAGTTATTTATCGTATATCACTCAACCTCTCTCATGGTCTACTAGTACGACTTCTACATACAGTGCGTCGGTGGCACAGTGGTTAGGACTCTCACCGACTATGCACATGGTCCGGGGTTCGATCCCCTGCCGACGCACACCTGATATCAATGGTCGGCCTGCAAAATTTGGGCTACCGATATCACATGCTGAAAATTCCATACTTGCACCAAAAAGTACTGTGTGGAATCAAGCTGTAATCAAAAATAATTTTAAAAAATACTGCAGAGGCAATAGGAATCCATCTGTACAAGCCAAATCTTTGTGTTCAAAAGAAATTTGCACAGCCCCTTTATTTGTCATGGACAACTACATGATATGTATTAAGTTTTTAAAAACGATTTTTCCCTCTCCCCTTGTAAATATCTTTTGAGTTTGTTAATTTTTTCAATTCTAGCTGATTCTGTTAACTTAAGTGTATTTTACGTAGTTTTTCTGAGTCATCTTATGATTCTTAGTCATCATTATTTGACAATTTTCTTGATTATGTAATAACTTGTTGATAACGCCTAAGAATCAAATTATCTTGAATTCCGTAATTAATTAATTTTCACCCCTCCTTTAAAACTTGGATACCTTGTTACTAACATCTATTAGTTAATTGTTTTGATGACCTTTAACCTCTTAATTTCACCCTCTTCTATACGTAAAACTGATTAACTAAAATAACCACCTGATTGGTAAAACCTTTTGATGTAAAAAAACAACTATATATTAGTGTAGAGCCAGCCGATGCTGAGGAACTAATTGAAAAGGGATATATTTCTTCGCTCAGTCTGTTTTTTTTTCTTCTAAATAATTTATGAACACATAAAAACAGGTTGAAGCTCTCTCTAGTGCTCCGTAAATTTTATCGGATTTAAGAACAGGGTTGTAGTCAACTTTATGACGCGTGTGTATGCGTGAAGTGTGACACTAGGCATCCTATTTCTAGGATCTATTGCATCTTATCTGTTGTACTTTACTGCTCCCCAACCCATTAATCTTTCCTGGGTTACTCAAAATAGGACTATGTCATGTTGTGCAGGGTATTTAAAAGTTGTCAGTAGGGCAAGTGGTGTGCGCCACTAAGTCACCTCGTTATCACTGTAGTCGACAGACACCTGAAATTATGAGAGGGAGAGAGAGAGATATGCTCTAAATTCATCTAATTGTCTAACTCTCAGCACCCTTTTTACTCACAACTCTCCCCTTGCATTTTATTAGGTAGGACTATAAATCACTATAAAAGATTATATGCTCGCGCAACCATGTACAAAAACTCAACGATACCCTATATGGCGCGTGTTTTATGTGGTGGAGATAATGTTAGGCGTGAAACTTACAACTTAATTATGTTATAAGCAAAGTAATGGGCTCTTTTATCTTCTCTCCTATTTGCAATCTACGGTGACACTATTTCAATTAATGATATGACAATAAAACTTGGGCACTGTGGTAGAGCATTATACCCTTATGGGTAAAATTTATTTTGATAAAGTCACACAGTGTTATTGTACAGTAATATTTACTGATGACCACGTTTCGAGCACAATTTATTACTGCTCATAATTATATCAAGGCACTAGTCACACATACTTCCCAACTTCGTTTATATGTTTCCACTGTCTCTCATCTCTTGATTTGATTGGTGGTAATATTATCTTCCATGCATATCTCTGGTATTTGCGTTGGGTCATTTCTGTTGCACGTGTTGGGTGTAGACTCGATGAACCAGAATCCAGTAGTCTATCTCTCTCTCCATCTACCTATATTACTCCTTAGAATTTTGACTCTGTCCCACCCACCCTATTGTGTGATTATGTGTTAATGCTTGCAGTGCAATTGCTGAGCTTTTTTCTAAATTACTTATCTTCGCGGGTGAGGTCAACCATTCTTACCTTAGCTAAATTCTTATGTTTTGACAGGCAATCTCACTACTACTGCTCGATCTACTAGTTTGACTTATGTAGTTGACCTAACTCACAGTCATTCAAAGATATTTTGTAAATTATATTATTTTGTCTAATTCGGTCAACTGGTTCCTTTAACCTACAGAGCTCGTCCTATCTGAATGAGTTTGTAGGTTTGAATGCCACCCTAATTCCTACTTTACTGAAAATCCTACGTAGGGTTTCAGATGTCCCTTCCTTACATGATGAAACTATTGTATATGCCTTATATTCTTTCTTATTTATATGATCATTGTTAGTTTCATACCACAAATATGGAAGATATTACTGCCAGTCAAATCAAGAGATGGGAACTATTACAATTAACTTATAACTTCAGCTATGAACATGAATTGGCAGAAGTTAGAATTTATGCACTGGCCATTAGATTGGGTCCCATTGAGTGGCTCAATGGTCTACGAGGTCGCTCACCTTGTAACCAGAAGGTCCTGGGTTCGAACTCTGCTGGGTCCTGGGTGCGTACTGCCGAAGAGTCTCAAACTGGGCTGACGAAACAGCTAGTTGTCCAGTACTCCCTGTTTGTTTTCCAATGGTTCTCTGGCCTATATCCACTCATGATGAAATCCTGTAACCAATCAATCAGAATCCCTACAAACCAACACTTGCAAAACAGTCTAATTATCATCATTGATATTTAGTTCTGATAGGCACTGTGCTTCTTACTTCACGGAATAAACTCCTGGGTGTTTTCCTCAAAAAGGGAGAAAAGAAGACAGTGTTAAGTACCCCCTAGCTATAACAGTTTTTATTTCGTTACACTTCTATATGATTAAATCTTTGTTTTATTTTACTTTTTATTTTCTTCATTTACAGACTCCAGATGATATTAAGCTAACTCTATCTATGTATGAGTATAAAATTCGTGTACTCCAAGTAAGCTGTATGCTGGATTACTTTCACCGGGTTTTTTTCTTGTTATTATAATCTTGTAGTTTATTCTATCCGACATAATATGTATGAGGGCTGCTAATTCTATTATGCCGACGCTGGGCTTAGGCACGCTGTGTTGACAACGAATACAACTTGACTACGCCAACAATATCAACATTTTACGATACCTATCTATTTCCTTAGCCTGCTGCTCTACTTATTCTAGAACACTGAACGACGCGAGACTGTTGAAGATAGCCAATAATTGTTATTTCCTGGCCAGACTACCTTGAACCAAGGACGAAAATATCCAAACAAACAACCTTGATGCAGAGACATGTGATATGTCTGACTACATGTCAAATACTACCCAATCACACCAACCAGTAAAGCAGGTGACATTGGCCTGCATAGCTTGTGTTAGTGTTCTAGAAACAAACTGTTGATCAGTAAACCTTTGGGACCCTTCACAAACTTTTATCTAGACAACAGTTGAAGGAATACCACTCATCATCAAGGCCTTTCTATCGTTTCGGGGATGGGAGGTGTGTGGATCCCTCCTGCCTTCCAAAACTTTAGTGTTTTTGAGATGAGTGTTTGCTTATGTCGCCTATAACATGATTTCTCAAGATAGATTTACACAGAAACGTAATGTGTTGTTAAATGCGCCTGCTAAGTCCCCTCTTAGTGTTGAATTTGCGAAGTGATCACTTCTGAGGTGTTGGTTGGTTTCTAGATTTTAACAAGATTAATTGGTAAATTGGTGGTGATTGGTGACTAGCAGTTGAATCCAGGACAACGCGCATTTCGTCCTATTTGGGACTCGTCAGCTAGTGGATGCACCTGCTTTCTCCAGTGAGTGATGATGTTCCTACCACCAAGGTTCAAACCCAGTACCCATCGTTTCAAATGCCAAAACACTATCCACTAGGCCACTTGGACGACGACAGTCATCTCTTGTGTGACAGATGTCAGTTGTTATGTTCGACCTTTATTCATATGCCGGCTCCTTGTGTGGATGCTTCAACGATGTCTGAGGATTAACGTGAAGTTATTTCTTTAGTTAGTTAGTTAGTTATTCAATCCACGCATTGTGAGTGGGACCGTAGCGCATCAAGCGGGGTACATCTTCATCGTGCTCGGTTATCTGCCATCACACTGACTGCTAGTTTTCATTTTCCCTCTCTCATATGATCTTCTCTCTGTGTCACTATCAACCGCCTAACAATTCGCTTCTCATTCAGGCTCCAGCCTAGTATGTGATTCTACTGAAGGTCGTCCTGCTTCTGTGAGGCCTGCATTGTTTCAGTGTAACTTCCCTGCCTTTTGAGTTGTGAATGCTGTTGCCATGATTCTGGAGGAGGTTGGTTCGCATTGCATACGAGGACTTTCATTGGTGCTAGTGTGATATCGTTATTTGCCACACTCACAATATGCCAGTGGTCGCTAGCTAGCTAGCTGGGTAAGCGGAATAGATAACCGAATTTCCAGTTCATAATTTATATAGTATACTTTCATCATTCCATCTATTCTCAAAGGTTGCTAACACTTCTAATCCATATCTTCTTTATGCTTTCATTGAAAGTAAAGACATCGGTTGACTGGCTTTCCTGATGAATTTCACCAGTTGGCGTAATCTCTCCTTCAGTTGAGAAGTATTTCCTGATTTCAGGGAAGAATAAGTTGATTTATTCTCTGCCCTGAGATTTTCGTACCTCGATGTACATCCAACATTCCTTTTTTTATCTGGATTAAGAACAGTTTAGTGTAAACAAGGCGAGGTTGTTGCTGGGTTGTGGCTTATTATTTACTTATTACGCAGGCTGTTCAGCCAGACCCATAATTTAATAGTTTCTGTTAACCGCTGTTTTATCGCCACAACAATCAGCATAATTGGAAGGAACGTGTAAGAAACAACCTCCTTTATATAACTACTTACCAGGGATGCATCATTTTAACAACAGGCGGAACTAACAGGTATATCAAAGCGAAGATCGGGATAGCAAGGCAAGCTTTCACTACTCTCATGTCTGTGTGGAGGTCAACAGCACTCATCATCAAAAATAAGATTCGGATTTTCAACTCCAATGTGAAGTCAGTGCTACTTGTTATACGAATCAGAGACTTGGCGCGTCATAAAGAGCACCTCAAACAAACTACAGACCTTCATCAACAACTTCCTTCGCTAAATACTTAAGATCAGATGGCCGGCCAGAAAAGATCACCAACAGGGATCTTTGGGAGCAAACCAACCAGGAACCGATTGTGAAACAAATAGGCAGGAAGAAATGGAGGTGGATTGGCCATACTCTGAGAAAGCAAACCATCAAGTGACATCACTAGACAAGCCCTCGAGTGGAACCCGAAAGGAAAGCAGCGAGTTGGTCGTCAGTGCGAGGGTGACTTGGAGGAGGTCATGTGAAGAGGAGATGAAAGTATGTGGGGGCAGACTTGGAGCCAGGTGAAAACTCTAGCTGAGAACCGAACGTAATGGAGACGCACGGCTGAAGCCCTATGTTCCTCTAGGAATTAAAGGAAACAATAATAATAATATATTAACCTCTGTTTTATCGCCGATGAAATTCCTAATTGTGGTGCGCTAGACTATGCGTGCGGGAAGATAGGAATACGTTGGATAGATAAGAAGACTCTAGAAGATCTGGACTTCTCGGGCGATTTATATCTCACGCTACATAAATTCGAACACCTGGGAGTTGGAAACCAACAAGTTGGAAGAAGAGATAGACAGCGAAGACAAGACTTCAAGTGAACATAAAGGGAACAGAAGTGATGAAGATAACCAAACACCCAACCAACAACAACAAGAAGCTCCAGTCACTATCATCGGAAGAATTTTGAAAGAGGTCATTCCCTTCACTTGTCTAGGAAGCATCATTTCAACTACAGATGACAATATGGATGAGGATATCAAAGCCAGAATCGGAGAGGTAAGACTCACTCACCTTCAACACTTTGTAGTCAGTTTGGAAATCTTCAAATTCTCAACACCAATGTTAAGTAATTCAGCTCTTCTGTATGGGTCAGAAACTTGGCTATCGTGTCACAAAAAGCATTTCCAACGACTACCCGCGCTTCGTCGAATAAAATAGCCCGCCAGGTCATCGCTCGAGTGGGATCCTATCGGGAAACGACGAAATGGGCTTTGGTTCGAAGGGGTGACATGGAGAAGATTGTGTGAGGACGGGGTGATGTGAGACTCTGGTTAATCGTGGGGACAGGCGAAAAGGATCGCAGTGAATAGGACAAAGTGGAGATGTGCTGTTGTGACGCCTTATGTTCTCCTGAGAGAGAACCCAAGGGAACAACAAAAATAATGTAAACTGCTGTTTACAAAATGTACACTGAAACAAAAAAAAATGAGTGACTGTTGAATATATCATACTGATTTTATTTATTTGCTAATGAGTTAGTATACTTTCTCACCTGGTGGTCGCCTTTATCGATTGCATTGTTGCCTAGTACAACACATTTCATGGTCAAGTTGATTATTTGCCATGTAGCTCTATATGTTTGCATACAATTTTGTATGATAGTTAGTTGTTCCTACTACTACTATCTACCAATTATGGTTTACATACTAACAAAGCAGCTTGTGACAAAAAAATGTAGCCTACTACTACTCTGGGTCACTCATCACTTGACTAGCAGTAGATCTAGATCTCGATTCATACTCTACCTGCCTTCTTCTGGTCTACTGGACAGTGTTAGAGATCCTCACGTGATTATGTGGGTTTCGTAGACTTGTGTCTTACAAATATGCAGAAAGAAATAGGGATTGCATTGTAAACCTACACTGAGGAGAGGGCGAGAGAGAGAGAGCTTCAAGCTGTATGATATCGTCAAAATGAATAGGAATCAACGGGTTAGGCTTCCATCGGTAACATGTTGAAGATCATCACTTTGTGAAGAGACAGATAGAAAAGAAGACCGCAGAGAATAATGTGAAACGTAGGGATGTGCTGCTGGAGGAAGTCCACTCTTCCACAAGGAATGCAAGGGATGAATATATATGATTGCTATGCTGGGACATCTTCCAGAAAAGGCTAGATTAATAACATTACAAGTGTAACAACAGAAGACAAGGGCCAGGCAACAGATCGTTTATTAAGGTAAATCAACACATATTTATAGATTTTGATGTACATTATTGTAGATTATTGTTAGTAGAAAATGCAGTCTTTTGATTGGTTGTTTATCACAGAAAGTTAACTTTGCATCTCTTTGTGGCTGTGTCAGATCATCTATATGCTAACTGTATCCACCTACACAAAGCCTTTGTTCTCATTTTCTCACCACTAATATTGGGGACATAAATATTGACGTCAATTACTGTGTACCAACTTTGGCTAGCAGCCAGCTCTCACCACACAAGTATTAAATATCAGTAGGGAGTGTTTACTATGCATGTAATCTCTTGTTATCTTTTTTCGTCTTCTACTTCTTCTCTCTTCGTTTGAAAAAAAAAAAACAAAGTCTCGTGAAAAAATTTTGGAGAAGAATGCTGCAGTCAATGCTGAAGCATCCGCTAGTGCGCATAAACTCTGCGATCATTATCGTGAACGGTCAGAATTAGCTGAATACGAGGCGAGTAAACTGCGTATGCTACAAATGGAATCAATTAGTAATATACATAATTATAAACGTCAACTTGCTTATCAAAAAGAACAATTAGAAAAGTAAGTATGCTTGTTATAAGTATAAGACTTGGGCACTGTGCTAGTAGAGTATAACTCCATTATGGATAAGATTTTATTTTGATAAATCACACAGTGTTGTTATACAGTAATATTAACTGATGACCACATTTCGAGCAAAAATTATTGTTGCTCAAAATCATATCAAGTTATCATCCTCCTCTGATTTGACTGACTGGTGGTGATAAAATCTTCCATGCATATCTCTGGTATTTGAATTGAGTCATTTCTGTTGTATGTGTTGACTGTAGACTCAATGAACCAGGCAGGATTCAGTAATCAATCTCTCTTGCTCTCCACCTACCTATATTACTTCTAAGAATCTTAACCCTCTCCCACTCTATTGTGTGGTTGTGTGTGTGTGAAAGTGTCACTCATAGGACAAAGCTGCCCACTGAGGAAATTATTTTAGGAATTCAGTTGTGCCTCACATCTACTCTTTAAATTCCAAGGCAAAATATAGAGACAAACAGAAGGTGTAGCAATGGGATCACCAATATCCCCTATCGTGGCAGATATCTTTATAGACAGCTGGGAAAATATTAGTCTTAGCAGTACATTTAATCCTACTCCCAAAATATGGTGGAGATATGTGGATGGCACTTTCACAGTGTTAAAAACAGAACATATCTTTAGCTTCTTCACACGCACATATAAACTCACATTTGAATCGGAAAATGAACAAGGAGAATTAGCTATGCTAGATTGTAAAATCATACGAACAGAAGAATGCAAACTGCACACTAGCGTTTATAAACAGCCAGCGCATTCTCCTAATAGATATTTAGACTTTAATTCATCTCATCCGTTATCTGTCTGTGAAGGCTGGTTTAGTTAAACTTCTAGCAAACCGAGCAGTAGCACTAAGTAGCACAAAAAAGACCTAAATGATGAAATAAAACAGATAAAAGAGGCGTTGATGTTAAATAACTATCCTATAAAATTTATTAGGAAGATTGAAAAAAGCAAAATAAATTATTGTGAAACTAGTAGTGATAACATATATGAGAGAAAATATAAGTCATCTACGGTTATACCTTATAAGGAGGGGACATCTGAGACCCTCCCTACGTAGGATTCTTAATAAAGCAGGAATTAGAGTGGTGGCATTCAAATCTACAAACTCACTCAGGTGGGACAAGATCTGTCGGCTAAAAGACCTGTTGGACCTAATTAAACAGAATAATATAATTTACAAAATACCTTGCAATGACTGCGAAGTCAACTATATAGGTCAAACTAGGAGGTTGGGTATAATCAGATTGTCGGAACATAAGAATTTGAATAAGGTAAGAATGGTTGACCCCGAGAAGACAAGTAATTTAGCGAAAAGCTCACGTCTAACGATCAATATACCTAGCTCCACAGGAACAAGCGAACTAGAAGCACATAGAAGTACACAGATGCATGATGTTGTTTTTCAGGCTCCTGCAGACCAATAGATGACTGTAAAAGACTACTCTTAGCGTTTCTGTGAAGATGATGAAATTCTCCTCTTAATGATATCACAAATTGTATCCCCCTTGAAATCAAGGTTCATGCAAAGTTTGTTTTTTGGTACAACTAATGTTTCGTTCCTCTGAACTTTCGGTTTGATATTTTTGTCTGTGAATCTCATTTGGTATTTGCATTTTGGATCAAAATTTCGTCCAAAAGGTCTAAATTCTACTTCTAGAGCTGCAGATGCGGTTGACGCAACAAGCACGAGGGATGTAACTATCGTTCTGTCCAATAAACACCCAACTGTAGAAACTCGTCGCTTGACTGTTCCATGTGGGTTTCCTTTGGACTGTTGACCCTCTTAAGGTTTTGTCGGGTCTTCGTGTTAGTTCTACATCAAGAAAGGGAATTTTATTGCTGGATGGTAGTTGTTAGATATCTGTATTCTACTTAATATAACCAGTTAGATTTTTAATTTCGTAAATATAGCCTTTGACACATCCGTTTACGCTTCCTCTATATGGTAAACTTTCATGGGTTTTAAAATCCGGGTTTGTTTGTTAACCTGTTGCACAGTGCAACTTGTTTCTTCTTGCATAAGTCTCTGGTTTTCATTATTTTTTTTCCAGATATGATGGTAAAATTGCCCAATTAACAGAACAGTTAGAAGCTAAGCACAAGTCTTATGAAGGTCAGTATGTGTTTTCTTTATTGGTTTTACTTCGTTCATTATTTTTTTCTGTAATCTTATTCTTTTGCACTCACAGTGGAACATAGGGCTTCAAGCTCGAGCTTTGAAGTTTTAGTAGCAGTGGTGTTATTTCTACGGGGTGGTGTGGTTGCTAGCCTTCCCTTGTTGTCGGCTCTACAACGGACTAAGGAGGAGGTAAAGGTGTGTATCGTCGGCCAGGATTTGAACCCCGCCCCATGTGAGGCGTCGTTGACTCGTGTTTCACCACTGAACCAATGATGCACCAAAGTATTTGGTATGCCACATACGCACACTTTTCTCATTCTTTCGTTCGTAGATACTTAGTTGTCACGGTGTATTTTCGAAGTGAACGCTCTCGCATCGAGTAGCTGTGATGTGATTGCAGTGTGTTATGAGTAGACTGTTCAAATTTAAGTCAAATATTTCATAATCTTAAAAACAACTTTCTCCAAGTGACTTTTTAGTCAATATAAGGTAAACGAGCTTTCATTAATGATGAGTTATTTTGGTCCAACATCTTTCTCCTTATGTTAATGTCACAAGCTATGCATACTTTTCTAAACACCTTTACTTTATCATTCTAGTCGTTTAAGGTCGGTCTTACAATGCTGAAGTGCACAAAGTCTTTCTCTACACCACTTAGCACCGCCAAACTAGGGGTGTGAGGTGATTCTGTGCATTTAATTATCAGTATCTCTGTCAAATTACTTGCATCCCGGGACATCATCATATAAGTAATTCTGAGTTCCAGTGGCGTGTGTTTGGTTACAGCGTCATTATTACTATTATTTCCTTTAATTCCCAGAGGAACATAGGGCTTCAGCCGTGCGTCTCCATTGCTTTCGGTTCTCTGCTAGAGTTTTCACCTGGCCCCAAATCTGCCCACACGCTTTCATCTCCTCTTCACATGACCTCCTCCAAGTCACCCACCCTCGCACTGACGACTGACTCGCCGCTTCCCTTTTGGGTTCCACTCGAGCAATGGCTTGTCTAGTGATGTCACTTGATGGATTGTTTCCTCAGAGTATGGCCAGCCAATCCATCTCCATTTCTCCCTGCCTATTTGTTTCACAATCGGTTCCTCGTTGGTGTGCTCCCAGAGATCCCTGTTGCCGATCTTTGCTGGCCATCTGATCTTGAGTATTGGGCGAAGACAGGTATTGATGAAGGTTTATAGTTTGTTTGAGATGCTCTTTATGACGCGCACTGCAAGTCTCTGATCCGTATAGTAGCACTAACTGACTTCACATTGAAATTGAAAATCCGGATCTTATTTTTGATGCTGAGTGTTGTTAACCTCCACACAGACTTGAGAGTAGTGAAAGCTTGTCTTGCTTTGATATCCTCGTCAGTTCCCTCCGCCTGTAGTTGAAACGATGCTTCCCAGGTAGGTAGGTAAAGGAGGTTGTTTCTTTCAGGTTCCTCTCATTTATACTTATCATTGTCTGTTTTTGTTGCTGCTGGTGGTGTTGGCCAAGAATCTTCATCACTTCTGTTTTCTTTATGTTTACTTGGAGTCCCATTTTTGATGCTTTGTCTGCCAACAGCGTAGATGTCCTTTAAATCACCGGGCTTTCGTGGATTTAACCTATACAACGAGAATGTCATCCCATCTCAGTGGCTTCGTTGAATTTTTTAACATTTGCTAGCTCTGGGATGACTAGGTGGAAAAAGTGGGAAGGACGGTTGGTCCATAGCCTTGTGTGTAGTGGGAAGAAAGAGAGAGTTGTCGTAGGTCAACCGCCTGTAGGAGGTGCATTATGACTTTAACCGGGTGGAGTAGTCGGAGAGATCATTTGAATCAGTAGCCTTAAAAATCATTATTTGTAGAAATTCCTTATTTGCTCTTTTATTGTTATACATATATGTACATTTATTGTCGTTGTTTTTTTGTAGAATCTGAATTAAAAGCTGAAACTCTTCAAAACAAGCTAAAGTCAGCTCGTGAACAAATCAGATCGATGGATTTAACAATCGACGATTATCGAAACCAGTTGAATCAGGCTCAAAATCAAATTCAAGCTCAAACAGCACAAGTAAGTTTTCCTTTCATAGACCTCGACTGACAGACAGACAGACAGACCGACAAGTTCAGTGTGTATTTAAATAATTTGAGTAATATGTTGTTATAACCTGAGTGTTACTGACTCTACATAGTGATTGTCGTCTAGCTTGACTGGAATCCGCCTCCAGGCACGACACTATAACCAACTGACCACTTGAAAATATCTCCTCACACTGAGATAGACACAGAAGTTGGATTCAACCGCGAAGATGACGATGTCTTCTAGACTATACATAAATGTAGCGCTGTCCTCACCAGTGCCTTCTATTAGTGAGTGGGAAATCATGGCAGCTCTGTATTATAAGTCTACAAAGTCAGAATTCAGAGGTGTCATTATCGAATTCCAACCTAAGAGACTGAATGGTCAACGACCTTGGTCGTGTAGCCTGAATGTCCTGAGTTCTATCTCTGGCACAGCTATGGATGCACACTGATAAGATGTCCCGTAGTGAAACAAAACGGCTGTCTTGTTCTTCCGGGTTTTTAATGACCTCTCTAACGGATATCGGTTCGTGGCGTAACTTTATTAATCAAAGGATTATTGTTATTAATAATTATGAATGTTATAAATCACAGGGTATTATTATCAGGACTAAAAATTGAAATTCAGAAGCATCGGTAAGCAACTGGACTGTTTTCAACTTAGAACTTTTCACAGATGTGTACCAGCTCGAGTTGCCATGCAGCACACTAAGCAAGAGAAGAGAGTAAAAAGAGATTCAAAAGAGAGAGAAATAATGAACAAAAGCATGCCAAACATTCGCAGATTTCTGCTGAAGGTTTGGAATATGCCAGTTTACGCCGACTCTGACGTAGACGTGATATCCGGCCGACTATCATCGGCGTGTGTACTGCTCACTAGCAGTTCTCTCTGTCATCCCTTGTGCCTGTGAGACCTGATCATTGAGGTTGGAAGACATGAAAAGACCGGCTAGCTGTCTTTGGTCATAGGTGCCTGCATTCTATCTCCCGTGTGAAGTGGTATAATAAGGTAAGCAGTCTTAAAGTTAGACTTCGAGTGTTGTGTAAGGAGGGGAAATCAATCGACGGGGTTGTGAAGTTACATCGACTGAGATGGTTAGGATATGTGTTACGCACGCCTAGCCATTGCCTCCGTTAACGGGCAATGTTAGCTGATATAGGGTCAGGTTGGAAAAGATGGTTTCATCACAGTGGTTAGGACTCTCGCCGACCATGCACATGGTCCGGGGTTCGATCCCCTGCCGGCGCGCACCCGATATCTATGGTCGGCCTGAATTTGGGCTACCGATATCCATGCTGAAAATTCCATACTTGTACTGAAAATACGGTGTGGAATCAAGCTGTAAATCAAAATAAAAAAATTCAGTTAATTTGAGCCAGCCAGTCATGTAGGAAGGTGTAGACTTGCTGACTGGCTGGTGGGCGTCCCCGGGACGGTAAACACCAATGAAGGCTGGAGACGATTGATGATGTGGCTCAAAATCGTTCTCAATGGCTGGCATAGGTACATCCACTCCTTTTGACTTATAATATCCAATAAAACTATTTAGTTCTTCGATGTTACTATTATTTTTGCCTGATATCTCTGTTTACTGTCTCTATCTCGCATTACGTTTTACTCTAATCTCTTGCTCTGTATGCTAAGTGAAATGTGGAGACTCGAACTGCTGCACATCTGTGAAAAGTTCCACGTTGAAACCAGTCAGTCAGTTACTGCCTATATAATCAGGATCGTTTTCACTGTTTACGGTGTGTCAATTCCCTGTATTTCTATGGTATAGTGAACTGTGTTATAGTCATAATGCGCTCCTTAAAAAGTACATTTAAATAGTACATCCTCAGTTCCTTTTTTATTACACTAGTATCATTCATTGTTTTAATGCATCGCTCTTATTTTTATCTCTCTTTTTAATATATATAAATTTAGATTAACAAATTCACACAAATCACACGACTTATTAACGATTTGACTGGTAATCCATCAGCTGAACTGGGAACTTCTCTAATTACAACTACTGCATCTGATCGACCTACACCACCGCCGACAACGACAACAATAACTGATCCAATCGCATCTCAATCGGTTTGTGACACTGGTCGAATTACTTCAGTGTCAACGCGTAAAGCAGCAGCCAGTCGAAATACCCGACACTAATATGAGTGCAGAAATACTGACGTGAATTATCCCTTCCCCCCCCCCAACCCCCTTGTCTTCTTTTGTAAATATACAGATATACGAATCTTTGTTGCTTAACGAAACTAAACTGTTCGCTAATATTTTTGTTATCCCCCCTCCCGGTATGATTGAATAAACCATTAATTAACTACTGTTAATCTATTTGTGTGTAATATACGTATTCATTCACACGGACTTCAATATATCCGGAATCGATTTTACGAGCTAGTATGAACCAATATGATTTCTTTGTGCTCGCCTCTTGATTGTGAGGTATAGGTTCCTGATCTTCGGTAAACTTCTGCGTGGCTCGTCCCACCACTCGACTGTCATAGCTTTGGTTGACTCCAAAAGGAGTAGTGCTGGGATTAATTATATGTGGTTTGTAGTATGCGGTGTGTTAAGACTTTTACTACTGTGAATGGAGTTTATCCTTTCACCAGTTAGTCCTCCGTTATCGTCGTCAAAAGAAAAGAGATAATAATTATAATAGTAGATATAATTAGTGAAGTTATTCAGACAGAAAAAGAACAAGAAAACTTAGCAACAGTCAGCTGATTAAATTTGAAGAATAATATGAATTATATAGATATACCTGTAATAATAATAATAATAGGTGTAGTTAAAGCCGTCAGGAGAGAATGTAAAGAAGTAAAGTGACAAATTTAATTGTCTACCCCAAATAGTGTATGCGATTTTTAGGGGATAGGCCATTTGGATGCAGTCCTTCTGTCACCGCATGGTTGCCCAGCCTTCGCTTAAAGGCGTCCACAGACGGTGCCATAGCTACATCTGCCGGCAAGGAATTCCAGGGACGGCAAACCCGCGGGGAAAAGAAGTGGGAGCGCACCCGTGTCCTTGCCCTCTGATGAGCTATCCTTCTGGAATTTCCACGAGGGAGCCTATACCTACTCAATGGCAGAACACCTTTGTTTGGGTGATTCTGGTCATTTGTTATTTTGTAGGCAGTAACTAAATTCCCCCTAAGACGACGGAAGCTAAGTGTGAATAGGCCTAATTTCTTCAGCCTTTCATCATATGGTTTGTTTCGAAGACCACCCACTCCTTTTGTTGCCCGTCGTTGGACTCTTTCCAAGAGGTTGGCGTCTCTTCTAAGCAGTAGGGGTGCAATGATATTATGCACTTCAAGATGCGGTCTGACGTGTGTTTTATACAAACTTAGAAAGAGCTCAGGAGTGAGTGCACCTAATTGTCTATGTGTAAAGTGTACGACCGCATATGCCCTCGCTACGTACCCCGTGTTATTTACGCTTGTGTCCATTTTCTCCGTTAGAAATAGACCTAAGTCACGTTCCGACGCTGTGCAGGACAAGCTTTCATTGCACAGGGTGTAACTTGCATTCTGCAGTCTACAGGTGCGTAACTTCACTACTTTGCACTTTTTCAGGTTGAAAGTCATTCCACTGGTTACCGCCCAGTCTTCCAGAAGCCTTAGATCTGCCTGCAGCCTATCTGAGTCCTCCGGACACTTTACCGCCCTCCATATCTTTACGTCATCAGCGTATAGAAGAGTCGGGCAGCTTAGACGGCATGGTAGATCACTGATAAAAATCGAAAACATCCTGAAACCGTGTTGGGCTTCATGGAGTATATTAGACCCATCGAGATATTCCCTGATGTGATCGTCAATAATACTTTCTAGTACTTTTGATACCATTGGGAGTAAAGCTACTGGTTTATAACTAGTGGCATTTTGCCTATCCCCACCCTTGTAGATCGAAGAAAGGATGGCTCTTTTCCACTCCCTTGGCAGTTTCCCTGATTCCATGGAGTGTCGGAACAAGTCGCATAAAGGCCTACAGAGAGCTTTAGGGCACTGTTTCAGAACAGATGGCCTGATGTCATCACAACCTGGGGACTTCCCAGGTGTGAGTCACTGTAGCTTTCTTAGTACTATTGCAGGGTTTATTTGGGGAGTGGCCATTTGGTCTTCCTCCTGTGAAATAGTGGTGCCGCCATTTTGGCCGTATCGGTAACACCCACATTGCTGTTTAGCTGTTTGGCGAAGGCTAAACTGAATGTTTCAGCCATCTCCAGACTAGTGAGATATTGACCGTTTGGGTCTACTGAGGCCCTGGCTGGTTGGTTTTCTTTCCGACATGAATCGGTACAAGTTTTTGCGGTTCGCTAGGAGTTTTTTAGCAGGGTTAGCCTGGAATGACCTCCTGACTCTTGCATTGCACCGGTTCCTGAGTTCCAGGTATGCATCGTGGCCGATCTGACTCTTAGATACGCGCCACGTAAACCAAGCCTTCTGCTTTGCTTGCAGAATACGTGAATCTGGACCTTTTCGACGAGTAGTTGGTCACTAGTTGGAATGTAGTCTACTTTTGATGACTTTTCACTAGGGCCCCACCTAGTGTCGTCTCCAGCATTCTCAGTCAGTCCCGTGTTTCCAATAGTTTGCAGTAGATTTCGGCCAAATTTTCCCTCAGCATATCCCTATCCAAGGTCTAGTGATGGGGCATTGAAATCTCCAGCTATGGTGATTTGGTCATAGCCCAAGTCTCGTATCCCTGTGATAGTGCTGAGCAGTAGCTGATTGTGCTCTGCCCCACAGGTGGGAGATTTGTAGACGCCACCAAGTAAATGCTTGGTGCGGCCTACGGTGAAATGACACCATATGGAGTCTGGGAGTTCAATAAGTGGTGAGTCCGTTGCGCGCACATATTTAAGTTGCCTGTCCAAGTATATAGCAACTCTCCCTCCTTCCTTATCATCCCTGTCTCCCCTGACCAGAACCAGAACCTATGCTGATTTTGTTATCGGCGATAGTGGGGGTTATCCATGTTTCGGTGAGAATTATCATTTTCAGTTGTAGGTGTGCTCGGAGATTTCCAAGTTCACCTATTTTTCCTCTCAGCCCCCTCACATTGCTATATAGGCAGCTGAAAGTGAGTCTAACAACCTCAGCGTGTTGTGGGGTAGTTGACGTGAAGCTGTCTGCTGGTAGGGGACTTAATGTTGGCCGATTCCGATGGAACCGGCCCGTTGTGGTTTTTTCCATGGATTTAGGCAGGACACTTGGGTGACACAGACTGTTATTCTCAGAACTGCATCGCTCTAGTGTCACTGAAGCTTGGGGACGTATTAAAGCCTCAGTTTGCTGCCTCCTTATGGTTCGAGGTCTGCTTTCGCAGCATCGGATGTGCCCTCCCACTTTTCCCTTGGTCTCATATCACCGTTGAAGTGCTATGGCCAACTGCTCTGGGGAGTTGAATGTGACACTTAGCAGCTTTGGGGAGCTAATCAGTGTGAGATGAGTGGGGCGAGGTAGTCGAGAAATGGAGATGGCTCCAGAAGCATCTCCATTGTTGTACGTCATACATGTGGTTTTCACAAGCAGTGCCCGTTTCCGGCTCCAGAACACCGTGTGCCACCATAGAGGCAGAAGGCATCAGTTCTGGTGACTCCCTCGCCATTTTTCTGATAGCCCATATTCTGTCTTGTCTCACCCTTGTGTTCGAACTTCTGTCGATGGCTAGTACCCGAGCCATCAATAGTACTTTTTCAGCCTCTTCGGCAGAGTCCACTGTAACCCTTAACGCGGGTGGCTTACCCTGAGGCATGTGGACACCCCTGTACAGCCTGCAAAATTTCACTGAACTAATGTTCAGACCTAATTTATTGCACAGGTTGGACCACCGTTCCTGATCAAACAGGGCCCGTTCATCAAGCAAGCTGTCCTTGCTCACAGGTACGTTAAAGAGGATAAGAGAATTAGACCGATTAACCTCAGACTTAGGTTTGGCCTTTGCAGCGTCAGCAACTTTAGGCTTCATCAAGTTATGGCCAGCCTTTATTGTGTTGCCAAGCTTGCTAGTGGATGCAAGTGGTGCTTTTCTAACTCTATCTTCCCTTGATGTTTTGGGTGCAACCTTGTTAATCTTCACCTTGTGAAAATTGGCATTCTCAGTCAGTGGGACTGGAGTGTCCTTCTTACTGTCTGTGCCAAGTTTTGGCAGTGTGGTGTTAGCAGGTGGGGAGGTGCATAAGACTGTGTTGAGACATAAGAGCGACGAGTTGTTTCTGCTATCCGCAGATACGCTATATGGGACTATCCCAGGGCGACAAAGTGGACAGATTTACCAAAACCACGGGCATGGGTTATTTCTCATAAACTCGTAGTATGCTTTCGGCACCTCTTTGTCACAGCAGCAGTGCACCCATCGTTTGCAAAAATTGCATTCAAATGCTGAGTCAGTTTTAGAAACTATGATGCTGCACGCTTGGCATTCGTCTCTCTTACTTGATCACGTCTTCGAGGTCTTATGACGTCTTGAACGTTTCCTTTTAGATATGCTGTGTTTCACACACTGGCTTTCAGTTGATGCAGGTGTAGTATCCTCTCACGCTAGTATTGCCTGTGCCATTTCAGTACTAGACTGGGGTAATGCAGGCGTAGTATCAGGACAGACGAGACCTACACTAGTCTTTAGGACCGGAATGCGGGAAGGGGTTAATGTCCCTGTGTTTTTGCCTTCTTTGGCTGAAGCCCTTGTGACTACAGGGTATGGTGTTTTAGTGCCTTTTCTAAAGCTACTTTCGACAGCCATATTAACAATCACTAAAACTTATGCTAAATAAGAATAAGAGTGCAACAGTATCTACCCACAAGAACAAGAATAAGACTGAAAAAGTACAAGACAAGGAAAAGAAGAGATTTTCGACTTTACCTAGTACTTTCTGAATGATCGGCTACACAGCAATCACGTGGTAGACCAACAAGTCTTGTTTATCTGAACGAGTGAGGAAGATGCTGCTACGGAAATGGCACCTGAAGCTTTGGCAGTAGTTCGAGACAGCTGGACTTACCACACAGAGATTCAATTTGTAAGCAATGGTTGAATTTAATTCACCGGCCAGGTAGATCAAGTTTCCCAAGCGGATAATTCACAAAATAGTTATTTTCCGGTTAGAGAGGAAAATGCACGTCGTATTCAAGGAGCGCGCCTCTGCACACTGTGCAGAATCCAACAAGCTACAAAATGTGGTGATATTGGCTGAACTTATCCGGCATGTTGATTGAAATTTCGCTCGGCAAATTTGTTTTGTCAACAGTTTTTAATAAAATTTTGTTGTATGTTTTCTGGACTGATAGAAATTCTCATTTCCTGGCTAGTTATGTTGGTGTCTGCGTCATTTAATCTGACTGCG